TGGGGTTTTGGAGTCAGGCAGACTTATGTTGGAATATCACCTCCACACCTTACTTGCTGAATGATCTTGGGCCAGTAACTTAACCTCGCTGAGCTTCAGCCTCCTCATTTAAGAATGGAAACGATGATATCTGCACCATAGGATTTTTAAAAACTAAATGAGATCCTGCGTGCAAAGCATTTAGCAAAGACCCCAGAACAATAAATAACCAGGAGCAGTTATTATTGTATCAGCTATACCTTACCCAGGGTGGCTTTTAATTATTTTGAGAAAGCACAAAGCCATTTAAGTATGTATTTATCTGAAGAGGATGAGGAGAAGGGGACATTTCTTTGCTCAAAGGTTAGCAAAAAAAAACGTGTGGTTTTGCACTTAGTGTTATCTGAGCCAGGTTCCTCGGCTCAGACATCTGTTGATGGTTGTGCTCTGAGTCTGAGTGCCCACCGGGACTAAAAAACACCCAAACGAAACTCGTTGCCATCAAGTTGATTCCAACTCATAGCGACCCTATAGGACCGAGTAGAACTGCCCCCAAGTCTGTAATCTTTACAGAAAGGAGCCCTGGTGATGCAGTGGTTAAGCACTCAGCTGCTAACCGAAAGATCGGCAGTTCGAACCCACCAGCCATTCATTCCATGGGAGAAAGTTGTGGCAGTCTGCCTCCATAAAGATTTACAGCCTTGGAAACCCTATGAGGCAGTTCTACGCTGTCTTACAGGGTCGCTACGAGTTGGATTGACTCGACAGTGATGGGTTTGGTTTTGGTTTTGAATCTTTACAGAAGCAAACTGCCACATCTTTCTCCTGAGGAGCAGCTGGTGGGTTCAAACAGCTGACCTTTCGATTAGCAGCCAAGCACTTAATCACTGCTCTGCCAGGCTCCTTTCACCAGGCACAAGGTCTGGACTAGTTAACAATGACCACCGTGGGCATGCCTGTAAGGAGTGATTGTTATCCCCGTTTTACAGATGAGAAAACAGGCTCAGACAGGTAGAGAGATTTGCCCAGGGTCTCACAGCTGGAAGTTAGGAAAGAGACCAGATTTTCCTAAGGGTTTGTATCATTTTCTTCACCCTAACATGAAGGCTTCTCTTAGTACCTCTTTATAATCATGCTAGTATTAGAATAAGGAGCCCTAGTGGCACAATGATTAAGCACCCAGCTGCTAACCGAAAGGTTGGTGGTCTGAACCCACCCAGCAGCTCCACAAGAGAAAGACCTGGCAATCTGCTCCCATAAAGATAACAACCTGGGAAGCCCTATGGGGTACTTCTGCTCTGTCAGATTGGGTAGCTCTGAGTCAGAATCAGCTTGATGGTACACAACAACAGTATTGGAATTATGTCTATTGGATACCTCTTCATGCAAGTTCAAGGTTAATACTCAGGAACTTGGTCCTTCTCAAACACCTGGGGCTTGGAGTAGACTCAAAAAGTAATGCACTGCTAAATGGGAGCACACCCTTGGTGCCCCTTGGCTTCGAGACACTGGAAGTGCTTTCCTCTCACCTTTGCCTTCTGCCCTCCCGTACATGCTGCCATCCAGTCTCCTGGAGGTACTGGTCCTTGCCCCGGCCCGTGGGCCGCCGCCGGACTCTGGGGGACTTGTATGCCATCAGCTGGCGTCCAGGTGCCTGCCTCAACATTGTCCTCCCTGTCGGGTGTTGGAGCCGGGTCCCTGCATCTGCATGAGCCCCTGTTCTGGGCCTGCCCATGCCTGCTGCATGTGGGAACCAGGGAGCTTCTCCTCCCCATGTATGTGTGTGTGTGGGGGGGGGTGTCTGTGCTGGCATGTGGGTTTGGAACCCTGGGGCTTTTCTCAGCCTGGGGGCTTTAAGGTTTCCCAGGTTAAACAATGATGCATGGGGGCCCCAAGCTTCATAGTGCTGAGCCTGTTACTTTTCATCAGGTGCCTTTGAGTTTCAAGGGAAAGAAACCCACATCAAGCCAGCTTAACCACAAGGGAGGTTTATTGGCTCCTATCACTGAAAGTCCAGGGTAGTGGTAGCATTAAGCATGGCTAGATCCAGGGTCTTGAGAATGTCATCAGGACTTAAAAATATCATTAGGGCTTGGGATTCACTTTAGCCACCTCTCTACTCTATCCTCTGCTCTGTTGGCTGCATTCTCTGTGGCCTCTTTCCCCTCCTGGCGATGGCTGTTCCAGGCACCTTTCAGGGATGCCTGCCTTCAACAAAAACGCCATGACTGGTTCCAACTGGACCTACTTGGGTCCCATGCCATCCCTGAACCAGTCGTGGTGGCCAAGAGGATGCAGCATTTGGCCAGGCCAGGTCACATACCTGCCCCCTCCCTATAAGACGTGTGAGGTCAGCCTCACCCTCCATGAGGACTAAGGGTGGCAGTGCCCCCAGAGGCAGGGCAAGCGAGTGCCCCGTACAGTTTGCAAGGCCATTGACCTTGAGCTTTGTTTGGGCTCCCTGAGTGCCCCATGGAGCCCAGAGAAGACCCCTGAGCACCAGAGAACCTCCTGGCCTATGTGGCACAGCCCAGGAATTCAGGGCTCACAGGACTGACTGTACCTAGACAGGCCCCAGGCAGTGCCCTCACACCACCCCCGCAGACAGACCTGCAGTGCATCTGCACCCATACCGCAACCTGCAGCTTCCATGAGTGCGGGGACCCAGGGACTCTGCTGTGCACAGGATTCAAGCAAATCAAGTCGGCTCAGCTCCTGCGGGCAGGTCAGCAGGCAAGATCAATCAATAAATCAGCGCCTTGTGTGCTTACCTTCTCCCTCAGTACAGCTGGGCAGGCCACAGGCGCCTGGGGTGTCTTCCCAAAGAGACAAGTCAGCACCAACATACAAACCCTCGACACCAGCCACAGCTGGGCTCCTGCTCACCTAGGGGCTGAGTGGAACCAACACAGGAAGTCCCCCTCCTCTCCTGTCTGGCCTCTCCTGTGACAGGGTTCCATTTTTTCTGTCTGAGCAGTCAGAGCTGATGGTGTTGGGAGGAGGGGTGCTGCTGTGGGAGGGACACAGCTGGAAGCAGCTCTCTAGGAGGGGGCCTGGAAGGATGGTCCCTGGCTTCTGGGGAGGGGTCCCCAGGGAGTGGGGCAGAAGGTACCCCAATCACATTAATGAAAAGGGAAGCTTCCAGCATGGTTGAATCGAGGGGCTTGAAAATCATTGATAAAAAGTGAAACCCTGTACCCAGCTAGCTGTGTCCTCCTTGGTAGTGAGTTCAGCCTCAGGTCATCTGCTGAACAGTTCAGCTCATTCCAGAACTCTCCACCAGGGAGAACCAGGAAGGAGCTATGGAGGGTTTAACCCCCCTGGCATGCCCAAGGTGGCCCCTGCCAGGCCTTCAGGACTTATTCATTTACCAAGCATTGGCTTCCTTGCTAATGACATCCCAGGCTCCATGCCCAGTGCTAGGGATAGAGGAATGAATGAGACTGACCCAAATCTCTGCTTTCATGGAGTTCACATTGTAGCAAGGGAACCAGACATGAAACAGAATATATAAGTACATTACATGGTGTTTTAGAAGGTCATTCCCCGTATAGGGGGAAAAATATACCAGAGTGAGGGGGATGAGGAGAGCAGTGGTATTCAGTGGTAGAATTCTGACCTTCCATGTGGGAGACCCAGGATCAATTATTGGCCAATGAACCTCATGCATAGTCAGCACTCATCTGTCAGTGGAAGCTTGTGTGTGGCTATGATGCTGAACAGATTTCAGCAGAGCCTCCAGGCTAAGACAGACTAGGAAGAAAGGCCTGGTGATCTACTTCCAAAAATCAGCCAGTGAAAACCCTATGGATCACAGTGGTCCAATTCAGAAGCAATATGGGGATGGCGCAGGACTGGGCAGCGTTTTGTTCCATTGTGCATAGGATCACCACGTGTCATGGGGCCAACTCCACGGCAACTAACACCAACAAGGGGGAGGAGGAGCCAGGGTTTTAGAGTATTATGTAAGGTAGTGGGGGAGGGTGACTTTCAAGCCCAGATTTGAAGAAGGTGAGGATGAATGTGTGAAGGAGAGGGGTTTCAGAGGGATTGGGCCTGCTCTTTGTCCCATGACCTGTTGCTGCTTGAAGTCACCCAGGGTTAAGTGGGGCCTGGGGGTGCACAGTGATCTCTTGGGGAATCCTTCCCTCCGATGGGCAAGGGCATCTCATGGACCGCCACCTTGGCCATCAGTGTCCTGTGACTTTTTCCTAACCCAGTATCCCTTTGTCCCCACAGAGGAGAAGTACACAGTCATCTACCCGTACACAGCCCGCGACCAGGATGAAATGAACCTGGAGAGAGGAGCCATGGTGGAGGTCATCCAGAAAAACCTGGAAGGCTGGTGGAAGATCAGGTACCGCCTCTGCCTGCTGCCGCCAGCTGGGTGGGCTCCAGGTCACGAGGGCTCTGGCTTCACTGAGGTCTGTACGTGATCGCAGATGGGTGAGGTTTCTGCTGGAGCCGTAAAAGGACACTTCTCTGTGCCACTTGGCTTCCCTCCCTACCCATATCCTTCCCTAAAAGTCCATAATAAGCAAAAGTTTCTCCAAACACACTGAACCACAGATAGCAGCAACCGTGTTAAGCAAGGATGGTCTCCACCTCCACATGTTTCTCCTGACGAGTGACTGGGAGGTTGAAGCTGCCCTGTGTGAGTGACTTCCCGCTCCTGCCCCACACAGAGACAAATATGATGCTTAAAAACCACATTGACCGTAACTCCTCCTCAGGCTGATAATTTGCCTTCATCTCTCACGGTCCAGTAGTAAAAGCAGGAGACACGCTTTTCAGACTTTTTCACAGCTCTTTCTTTCACTTGTGTGATGAAATCAGAATCTCATAGGCAGGTAAGGTGACCAGCTTGTTCTGGTTTACCTGGAGGTTTCCTGATTTAGCAATGAAAGTTCCAGAAACCTCCTATTGGTCACCCTAATAGGCACGCTGCGACAGCAGGAAGTTAGGACAAAAGAGGAAGCCTGAGGTCCCCGCAGCCTGGTGTCTGCCACCGTGATGTGTAGCAGAGCATTAGGGCCACTCACATGAGGCTGAGCATATGACACTTCATTTATTCGTTTGTGCATTCAAACATATATTAAGAATCAGTTTTGGGCCAAACCCTATTCTGGGAGCTAGGAAGTCAATGGTGAGCAAGACAGTAGTTCACACCAAAGAGCACAGAAGATGGACTCATAAGTAATTACAGAACAGGGTGGTGAGTGGTGTGTCAGGGGATGCATGGGGGACTTTGGAGCACAGCAGTGGGGCTCCTCAGCTTGGGGGTCAGGAAGGATTCCTGAGGGAGGGAACCTCAAAACTGAAATTTGGAGGAGTAATGATAATGATAAAAAACCAAAACCAAACCTTTTGCCATCAAGTTGATTCCGACTCATAGCAACCCTATAGGACAGAGTAGGACTGCTCCACAGAGTTTCCAAGGAGCATCTTGTGGATTTGAACTGCTGACCTTCTGGTTAGCAGCCATAACACTTAACCACTACACCACCAGGGTTTCCATGGTAATGATAGCTAACATATATTGAGCATATATGTTACCTTGCTGCATAACATATTATCCCAAAACTTAATGGCTTAAAACAACAAGAGTTTATTATCTCACAGTTTCCACGAGTCAGGAAACCAGGAGTGGCTTAATTGGACTCAGGGTCTCTAATGAGGTTGCACTCAGGATGTTTGCAGGGGTTACAGTTATCTAAAGGCTTGACTGGGGCTGAAGGATTCTGTCCCAAGATGGCGCACTCAGCGTGGCTCTTGGCAGGAGGCCTCAGTTCCTCACCACATGGGCCTCTCCATAGGATGCTTGAATGTTCTCACAACATGGCGGCTGACTTTCCCCAGAGCAAGTGATCCAAGAGAGAGTGAGTGAGGAAGCTGCAGAGGCTTATGACCAAGATTATCCACCATCACTTCTACTTTATTCTATTTGTCTGGCCCACACTCCAGGGAAGGAGAATCAGACTCCACCTCTTGAACAGAGGATTATCAAAGAATCTGCAGACATTTGAAAACAACAGCAAAGTGTGAGCCTTATATAAATTTTTCATGGAAACACAGTGCTATTTAGTTCTAAAAGTGATTCTCAATAAGAGAATTGGCCCTGCCATATACCTCTAGTCAGTTGAGTCTGTTCAACTTTCCCCAGAGGTGTGGACACCTGTTTTGTGGTTCCAGATCACGGAGGTGCTGTTAAATGTTTAACAGCCAGCTCTCCAGGGAAAATATGCTCTGAGTTGTAGCATTTGCCATTTCCCATGGTGTAAATACTCCCACCATGGCCGATGTCAAGCTCCCAGTGTGTTTCACTGAATATGAAGTTGGGAAGAGATGCACACGCTTGGCTTTCAAAGCTGGTGGGAGCCGGCT